TGATCAACGCGAATTGGGTGTGGGTCCTTGTACTCCGAGTCGGGCTAACGTCCACGCTAGCTTCCACGCTAGCTGCTATATGTTTTGCATTGAGGTGATACTTGAGGCTTGATGTGCTGCGGTGATATGCGAATTCCTTTTTGCATAATTTGCAAACAACCCTCCTCTTATAGACGCTTCCATCCGTCCATTTTTTAAAACAAAATGTCCCATCCACGGGGCCAACCAAAGCGGTCTCATCAGCTTCTTCGTTCATGTTTGACTATTGTTCACTGTGGTTTGTTGTTGTCTGAAGTCATGAACGTTAGTTGGTGCTCCAGTATAATCGGTACCCCTGAAACTCATCCAGTGAGAAACGTTCCGCGGTGCAAAATTAAGTGCGATTAAAATGCGTTAATTTTTGTGTAATTAATTCATCTTAATTAACGCGTTAAAGTCCCGGCCCTAGAATTAACTCTAAAATGTAGTCGTCTTGGACCAAAGCGATAGATTAGTTAACTAAGGGGGAGAGCCCAAAAACAGATGTTATTGAGATGTGTCATTTTTTGTTGCTTTTACAGGTGCTGGCTGTTTATTTGTCATTCAGAGTATCCTCCAGAAGAAGCTTCCTTATCCTCTACAGTGGAACCTGCTCATTTCAATAAGTGAGAAATTAAACCTGATATTATAAAAGGTTTAGCAGTCAAGACTCTCCATGTTTCCTCCCATCTCACCTCCCCCCTCTCTAACCTGTCCTCTCTGATCTCCCTCAGTGGGGTCTTCAGTAGGGAGTTATGCTGTAACTCGCTGGGAAACTCAGAAATGCGCAGACCTTTGGATCTTAATGGAGACAGGAAAAGTCCCGGACAGATCTCCACCACAAGGTGAGTTCAGTGTGTGTACACAGACCGGCTCACCATCCCTCATGGCTCATATTTGAAGGTTATGAAACTTAGATGTGTTTCATCATTCAGTAACTGCCTTGTTGGGTCATGTTTAAATAAACATGCGTCAGCAATTTATTGAAGTGAATACATATTTTTATCAGTATTCTTAGCAGATGTATCTATGCCAGCTCTTTTCCTCAGTCATGATAAACCAAATGAAGGCACTTTGCAGACTTTAATGTTTTTATGTGTGTTTCTCCCTGTGTTTATCTTTCAGTGTCTGAACCAGAGGTATCAAAAGGACATGAGAAGACAAAATATGGTGATGTGATGGACTGAAAATATAAACACGTGTGAATCTTCTGTATATAACGACACATTTAAAAAAGATAATGTATTAAGAAAATAATAAACTTTGAGAAAGTGCTGGTTGTGAAGTGGTACATGTTGTATTTATTGGCACCCTGGTGTAATACATCAAATGAATGAAGTCAGGTTCCAGAGTTTGTGGAGAGTCTGTATTTCATAACAGCATTACTGTGTGGATAAACATATGTGTTTCCCGAATCATAGGTCAGGAATTAGTTTGGGTTTTTAGGAGGAATCCAACGTTAAGCTTGTGATCCGGTATTATTTTTTGGATGTGTTTGTTTGACATGCAACAGAATTAACACTGCACGGCCAAAACCAACCACTAGTTGTCACTGGGTATTTTATTGGATTACTATTAGGTTAACCAAACCAGTAAGTGACCAGTTTCTGTGTTCATGTGTGGATTTAAATTCCCCACTGATGAGTTTAATCATGTATGTCTTGGACTACAGACAAGAAATCACCTTTTAATGATTCCTCTTTTTAAATATTTGAACAGTATAACATTTTATGACCAAATATTGTAATTTATATGATGAAAGGTATGAGAAACCACAAGTAATGTATAATTGTGAAACATCTTGAGCAGCAATTTGTCCGTGTATCCAAAATAATGACATTCAAAGTAAGAGTCCAAAGGGAATTCCACTTGTATTTCATGAGTCCCAAGGGAAACGTGCAATTTTGTAGCAGCCAAATTACTCTGAACTAAGTATCATGAAACAAGCAACAAAATGAACCTCTGAAGACGATGTGTAATAATAAAAACATATATCACAATCTTCAATGCTAAAAAAAAAAATGCTTTGAACAAACTCTGGATCTCTATAACGAAATATTCTAGTAATTTAGTATAAGGTGCCTTATTGGAATTGCAAAGATCAGAAAATACCTAAACAGAGATAATGAAAAATACAAGCGAGAAAATAAATATATTTACATACATACAGACATGGGACTCATATGTGGCACAGTGCGGATCTTTCGATGGCAAGTATCCACATTTAAAGCTACAGTTTGAACTAAATCATGCCATCTCACATCACCCGTGCAGATGTTATAAGCTGTGTGTGATTTTTAAATGGGTGAATATTGAGTAGAGGTCGAGAAGTGTCCGACCAGATCCTTGAAACCTGTGGAAAAATGTATCTTTATTCTGACTGCTACCAGTGGTGTTTCTGCTGAAAACGACTTCAAATGCATTTCAATGAGATCCTTAATTTAAACATTTGTAATACACATGCATAAAATGTGTGCTTTTGATTACATTTAGCTTTTTTTTTAAAACACACACGCAGGGACTCAAGCTGTACTAGTTTGTACAATAAGGTATTAATCACTTAAATCCTGCACCATGGAGTGCAGGTCATTGAAACAATAGAGTCTTTCAAGCTTTAACACCCGGAGTAAACGAAACAACCAAAGTCCAGACGCTTGATTAACTGAGAACAAGCAAAAAGAGTTCACTGTTTCTGCAAGCTCAAACCGGTACAGTGACACACGTTTGTACAGTGACACACGTTTTTACAGTGTCTGTGAAAAAGAAACTGCCTCCTAGTAAAGGTAACCTGAATAAGAGAAGAGAAGATATTGGCTTTGCTTTAATGTTCTTTTTTCCTACTCTATTTTTGTGCAGCTTAAATCCACCCCCACTATCGCTTCCTCTCGCTCACATCCTCCCACTATAATTCAAATCTGATTTAACACCTCACCAATTCACTTTGGTGCCTCTTTGCATACAAAACTAATCCTTTGTCACATGAACACTGATACTGCTGAAGGAAAAGACTTGAGAGAAATAGGAGATAATGAGGGAAAGAGGTGTGCGTGCGTGTGTGTTACATGATAGTGACTCTGGAGCTGAGGATCTGTACATGCTCAATAACTAAAACAAACAGCGGTATAAACTGGCACGCTTTGCAACCACTGGCATGCCTTATAAAACTTAAAGTGTGTGTGTGTGTGTGTGTGTGTGTGTGTGTGTGTGTGTGTGTGTGGCATCACTGAATGTGCGTGACATCATGAGAAAGGGAGATGAGGAGGGCAGGAGTTAGTGCTCAGTTGTCTGACCCTGTGAGGCGAGGGAGCTGAGCTGCAACTGGACTGTGAGTCTTCTTCTCTTTCTGTCTGACTCTGGTTATATAACTACCAGCAAAAAAGCCCCAAAACAAACACTGATTAAAGCATTTTAATTCCAGCCCCACACTGAAAAAGAAATCAAAATCTATACTGTGACGCACTATTATTGGGTATTAGATCTCTCTCTTGCCCTAGGTCGTGATCAATCCAACACATTGATGTGTTAACAAGAACAACTGGTGTGTGATTGACCTTCATAGGGAGGGGGAGCAGCACTTGGGGATTTATTGATTGTGTCCTCTCGTTCAACCCCTTTTCTAATTAAAAAGAAAGTACAGTGAAATCAAAGTATGGACAAATGTGTGATTCAATACCTGGTACAACAGGTTGGTCAATTACAGGAAGTCTTTTGTGAAAGTGGAGTACCTTGACATTAATCACTGCTGAAGATTTCACAGATGACGACAAGAAGAGAGCTCAAGTCTGGGCAGGTCAGAGATAAACATGGGTCTGTACACAGACATGTGTGACTCACCACTAAACGAAGAGAAAACAGAAGAGGTTAACCTGAACACAGAGATGTTTGCCATGTGTTTTGTGTGAAACTTGGATTTGAGTTGTGTGCTTGGATGTGGAGCACAGTGATTTCAGCTATTCCAGCCTGACTGGTAATACATACCATTACATAATCTCAAATCTGCCAAGATGCAGGGGAAAGGGGGGGAAGAAACACACATTAACACTTCATTAAGATAGCATTACATGACATTACATTGTCAGTGTAAACCCATTTGGGGGGTTTGGGCTGTTGTTTTTGTAACAACATCAATCAACAGTTTTATGCTTGCAATTGAACCGGTTACAAATCCCCCTAAAACTGACATTTAAACACAAATTCAAACATTTTTATTAGAGAGCCATGGTAATGGAAATAAAAAGGGGTAAAATACGGTATATAAAACAAAACATGTAATTAAGCTACATAACAAGAAGATGTTATGTAACTTTATACTTCATCATAAAGGTACATGTTGTGCTTTAATACCCTTCATTTTTCTGACAGCTTTAGTTATTTTTCAGATGACAATTATATAGCCCTTCTGGCAGTGGTAGCTGTTTATCTCCTAATGTAAAGCTTTACTTTTATACTAATTTACGAAAAAAACCACATTGAAGGATTCTTTGGGACCTTTAAAGACATTTGACAACATTACAGCAAATTATATTACAAGGCTTACTGTGACAGTCAGATATCAGCCATCAAATCATTAGCGTGTCTAACTTTACAGGGATTTTAAGCATATAATCAACATAAATGGATTAACTTAACCATTGAAATGACATATTCAATTCCACACAAAGTTTCAAGTGATTTCATGATGAAACAAAGGGGCTCTGCTCCGCATTACCGCTGTGTGTGTGGGCTGTAAGGTGATATCCAGCTCTTTGTGATTATGTGTAGGGGGGGGGGGGGGGGGTGATCATATGCAGGCTTTATGAATAACGTCTCAGCATTAGTAATAACAAAAGCACAACTCAAACTGGAGCCTACCTCAAGCCTGAACCAATGAGCGCTGAGCTCGTGCACACCGCAACCAATCGGTTGACCTGGGACGCTCTCTCACACAGCCGTTTGAAGGGCGGTCCTGGGTAGAAAAAGGAAAGTATGGATCAGACCAGCGGAGTTACGACTGGAAGGTGGACGACCATATCAGTGAATTGTAGGACATTTTCAGCCTAAAAAGCTTTATTAGGATATGTATTTTCCTGCTCAGTAGGCTTGTATTTATTGTATTGTTCTGGGCTTTGTGCTGCGTGTTTATACAAAGTTAGCTAACTTGTGTGTTTTTGATTGATTAGTCGGCGCGCATTATCAGCTCATTGATGGCTCTGATAGTGACCGATCAGAGCTGCAAACTGAACGGGACCTCGGCGATTTACGGCCGAGCTGGACCAAGAAAAGAAGTGTATCAAGGCAACACGGAGGGCTTTAGAGCCGCAAAAGTGCACCCTAAAGAGCCGGACTATTCAACAGATGGCCTGCCCAAAGCCTTCCTGCACAGTCTGAGGACCCTGTTTGACATTTTGGATGATAGTGGTAGAGGCTATGTCCACATTTCAGAGATAGAGACCCGCTGGCAGGGGGCAGACACCCGGGACCTGCCCGGCGGGGTGCTCAGCTGCCTCCGGAGGGTCACCCCACCGCATGGCTGCCTCACCTTTGAGCGGTTCGTCGCGGGGCTGCGCTACTCCATGCTCAACCCGGAGCACAGCGCCCACTTCAAGGCCCACGCCGCCGTGCACCCACAGCAGGCTCCGCAGCAGAAGCCCGCCCCGCTGTCCACATGCAGCGTGGGGACTCGGGTGGAGAACAAGGTCCGTCCGCTGGGGCCGAGCAACGGGACCAACACCCTGCAGCACCGGACCTCCTCCCTGCAGAGCCGGGCCAGGCTGGAGGAGGCGCCCGGGTACCCGGCGTGTGGACCGGTGCGGTACCCAGCGGTCTTTGAGAGGCCCGTTCGGGGTTTGGAGCAGAACCCAGGGGCTCCGGCGGCCGGGGGTTACCGGGCCGAACCGAGCCATGCCCCCAAACCCACACAGCCGCAGCAGAGCCGGGTCAGGTCCATTGAGTCTCTCGCTCTGGAGTCGCCGCAGCTACAAGGATCAAGTAAGTGGTACCATGAAAGTGAATCGTTATAAATGTTGTGTGTGTGTGTGAGGGGGTTTGGGGACAGTTCACTGGGTTCATTTAGGACTCATGTCAATAACTAATTAACCTGTTGTGTTAAAATCAATAACATCAACACACACTCGTAATACAAAATGCAATTGAGCTCTGATCTCGTATGCCAATCAACAGCTCTAACAGAGGTTGATGTCATGCAGTTGTATCTACATATTATACTTTGTGGTATAAGATTTGATACATTTGTTGCTCAACTAATGCTGCTGTGTTTATTTAAAAAACATATGGGTCATTTCCTTCTAAAGTGGTTTCCAGAAAAGCACAAGATGATGTCTTTAATGGCTTGTTTTGTCTTAATAACTGAACACAAGTCAAACATATTCAATTATAATTATATAAAAAATATAACCTACAGTTGTATCTGCATTCCACTCCCATCCAAGTTGTCAAAAAATGTAAATGAAATTCAACTTGTGCCGTAGTTTCAATTTGCTGCTGACTTCAAACAAAGACAAATTCTTATCTGGACCCCAAAAAACGTGCATGAGGATGATTAGATCTTACATAGAGTATTATGTGTCCTCGAACACACACCAGAACACAGAGCAAAATACACTTGAAAATGAATTCACATGAACAAGCCACCTGATTATGTGCATAACTGCGTTGATATGTCCACTGCAGTCTTCCAGCTTCAATTTCATATTCTAATTCAATTGGATGCACTGATCCGTGTAGTGCATACAAGTGCACAACATTTGCAGTGTGCATTCATTTGCATTTCAGCAAATGTCATCCAGAAGGAGCCTTAGACAAGTAAACATTTTAACTTTAAAAGGCAGTCTTTTTCTAAATCCTTAATGGGGGGTCAACAACAGTTATTGTTGGTTTTTGACAACACTCTTATCAGATATATCAGTGTTATTTATGTCACAGCTCAAACAGGCTGCTGGTGACTGCTAAGTGACTGCTGGTTACTTGAATAATTGCGGTTGTTAACCCTGGGTCAGGTCAGAGGTCGTGTCAGAAATTCCTGCAGAATGTATCTATCTTGAGGGTTTGCCTTGTAGAGAAGGCAGATCATTCCTCCCACGGCCTGGCTGACTCTGGAAAGGAAAATGGTCAGATGTAGGCACGTGCATTTGTTCAGTTCTCTTTGGTGAGTAAGATGTAGGTTGGATGAGGTGCTGCTGAGTAAATTCCCAGTTTGCCTGCTCATTATCTCTCGCTCTCATACAAACTCACTTTCGTTCTTCTTTATCTCACATTCATAGGGAGAGCTATTTCACATTTCTCTCTTACTCACACACACACACACACACACACACACACACACACACACACACACACACACACACACACACACACACACACACACACACACACACATACACACCACGTCTGTCCGAGTTTGCATGATCCCTCTATAGCCAGGCCTGTCCGGAGCTATAAGAGTGACACTTGCACATTCCTCGTCCCTCAGGGCTTTCACAGCTTCTAACACTTGCATTACACTCATGTGTAAGTGAGTGTTTTCGTTCAGATGGAGAAATATTACACAAACACACTGCATGGCCAATAGATCACATAACTGCGTAGTTTATGTCTTATTTCAGTTCAAATATAAAAAGTAAATCTTAATGCTAAAACATATATATTTGACAATTTGTTCTTCTAACACATGTCATTAAATTCTCCCATTTCACTGTGGCAATACTGTTAAACATTGTCACTTACTTATAAATCCTCATTTTTATATGTGTATCAGGCCTGTATAATGCTATTATTGTAATTTAGAAATATCAAATGTTATGCTTTTTACAGTTAAACATCAGATGCTGTTGTGGCTGTATTGTAGCAAATCCCTGCAGCATATTATTTATTTCTCTTTTTGTCTGAATGTAAAAAGTGCTGTCCAAATATATTATGTCCCCTTACTTTTGTTGGGCAATGTCCATGCTCTAATCTCTCTCATGCAGCCAAACCCTGCTGGATTAGGACAGATTACAGCAGACAGGCCATGGCTCACTGAATCACTGCAGTGGTGAAATCCTCCCCAACACCCTGGACATCACCACAAAGTCCTGCCACTCTCATCACTTTTTTTGTGGTTCTGTAATGCAGCAGTGGTGTTCACTCAAGAGTTAAAATCTGATAAAATACCTCAGTTAATATGTGGGAAATACCACCAAAAAAATACAACTGAGATGCTTTGCCAAGGTCACACACAATTCACAACTCTTCATCAAACATGTTTTTTAAACCGCATTGAAAAGGCACAAACACACAGCAGCAGAGATTGAATGAGAGTAGTAGGAAAACCAACAGAGAGAAACATATTTTCTTTTTATCTTTATAACAACTGAGTTGAGTTTTAACAATCGCCCTTGAGTTTGGCAGCTTACTAAACAATCTCAATATAAGGACCTTAAATAGCTTTCGATCATATCACATGTTCTTTTTTGGCAGATAGCATTTGCTTGTCATTTTTTCCCAAAGCACAACATAGGTAAAAGTAAGATTGGAAGCGCACATCTAAAAACCTTTTTTTACTTTAAAGTGGACATGCATCTTAGTCTTCAAAAATAAAAAATCACTCAATGGGCTCTCTTGATTAAAAAAATCATACTAGCCTTTTTAGGAAGCCCTACAATTGTTGAAATGTTTATTTTTCATTAATTCAAGGATTAGTCTTTTCTCTGAAGTTTGTTTGAACTCAGATACTTCACATATTTCCTTCTACTCCACTGAACTCATCCTAGTAAGGTAATCAAAGAAGGGACCATGATTGATAGTACAGCTCCCTCCTGTGGTGCACACTGGCAGCTGGAACGCATTGCTGTGTCTTAATAAATGATTTATCTGTTATACTTAAGATGTTCTTCTTTACTGTCTGTCTGCAGGCATGGAGGTTTGTTGCCCAAGGAGATTACATGTCACCTTTAATCACCAGGAACTGATTTGAACTGCACTTATTATTCACCAAGAATCAAATACAATGCATTACAATACACTTATTTTTACATTTTAAACGGATGGATTACTGTTGCTGATGGACTTAAAACAATGTGCAATATTGTTGCCGAGTCAGAATTTGGAGACTTACCTTGATTACCTTGAATGTAAATCTGGCAATTGGTCTTTTTATGATAATTCAATTTGAGTTTTTCCCTGAGTAAGAGAACAGACATAATTGTTTAATTGCATGCATGTGTCATTACAAGCCCAGTGTAATTATTTTAAAGCAGTAGGAAGTACATTTCATATTTTAGTTTTTTTCTATGTTATGTTCAGCAGACTACAAGTCAAACTGCTGAGTGCATACCAGACCACAGTGTCGCAATTGATTCAATCTGTGTGTTTTTCATTTGTCTAGGTGTTGGGAAATCAGGTCTACCAAGATCCCAGAGCGAATCAGCATCAGGATTTACCGGCGTCTCCAGGCGACATGGGCGAGGTCGGGATGAGCAGAGGAGGCATACCATATCCAACGGAGTGGATTACGGAATGGTTGGTACACACAAACACACACACACACACACACACACACACACACACACACACACACACACACACACACATGCCTGGGCTTGAGCCTAACCGAATGTCAGTGCTGTTCATGCTCAGAGGTTTTTCCCGTTAATAACTGGTTGAACAGCAAACCAGGTATGTGTCAACAGTAGTAATGCGTGGGTCTTCTGTGGATCCACCCAGTTTCTATTTATTTACCTGTAAAGCACCCCGCTTCTCTTACAATGCCACTTATTTGAGTTAAAAGCATTTGGTCTCGAGGTAAAATCACAGGCCAGGCAAATATAAAAACTTTAAAAAAAACAGATGTTACTGCAGCTTGGAAACCCTTCTTTCACTTTTTGGTTACATTACAGCTAGGTCAACACAATATGTAGGAACATATGCAATAACACTGTCAAACGTTGCAATAGATAGATAAAAATGCCTTTCTGCCGACCCTCAGAAATACTGCTTTACTACAAAAAGACTGCCTGTTAAATTCCATTACACTTGTATTAAATGAATTGAACATTGAAATGTATACGAAAGGCACTAATAAATAAAGAATATTCATTGTATTTTATAATGCAGTTTTTCACTGATACTGTCTTCCACTAACACAAAACACTCCTGCGTGCAAAACAGTCTTTTAAGTGTTTATGATATCACAACAAAGATTTTTCCCTCGTGAGAGCACAAACAAATAACATCAGAGTGTGTTAACAGTCAGTGGGATGGCTTTATTCCTCTGCTCATTGAGAACATCATTTCTTTCCACTGTATTAGAAAGAACTGAGTCTTCAGTCAAGGTGTTGTGTCGATGTTTCACATGACACATTTTGAATGATTTTTCTTTGGTATCTGTTAGTATTTGAGTTGTTTTCCTGTGGTAAAGGATAGAGGATCAGTAGCAAAGGACGTTCAGAGAGACAGAGGTCTGACAGGTCTAAACAATGTTTTAGGGTGTGATTGGAAATAACAGTGATGGAGCCTGGAGGGCAGGAAATATTGTATTTACATGAAAAAGAAAACAGTAGAAGCCGGAAAATTCCAGGAAAAAGTTTTCTGGTAGAGTCTCTTCCCTCTCTA